TTTTTTTTTTTTTTGAAACAAGGTCTTGCTCTGTCAGCTAGGATATGGTGCAGTTATGTGATCACTGCACCCTTAACTCCCTGGGCTCAAGAGATTCTCCTACTTTAGTTTCCTGAGTAGGTCGGACTACTATTTTTGGTACAGGAGTCTATTGCTCAGGTAGGTCTTGAACTCTAGATTCAAGCAGTTCTCCATCTTGGCCTCCCAGAGTATTAGGAATACATGTTTGAGCCACTGAGCCCAGCCAGTTGGCTTTTTTTAATGCTTTTTAAAAAGCTATTTGGAAAATGGCTGTATAAAATGAAAATGCCATTTGGATCGCGTATTTCATTTTTTCCATTATCACCAGAATAAGCTGACCTGGGAGATAAGCACTGGTGTTCTCTGGAACTGTTCCAATGGGTCAGACCCCACCCCACCCCCGACCGCCTATTTAGCTGTTTTTCAATGAAAACATACCGAAGTATAAGTAGGTAGTAAACTGAGATTTGTTCAACTACACGTAAGGACTGAAACAGGATTTTTCTTTTTACTGAGGATCGTGGTCCAGACATACGCGAACACAGAACAATCCCAATTGTCCCAGGAGGATTAAGTCCAGGTCAGACACTTCCAGAGAATGCCCAAAAGAGTTGTCGGTATCCAGGGTCCTGCAGCCACGCCTTCCAAATCCCCCCTGAGTAAAACCCCAGGAATCCTCGGTGTGCCATTTAAAAAGGCGAAGTCGCTGCCTCCGCTGCCCCAGGCTCTGCGGGAGCTCTTCCTCTTGTAAGGGTTGGCGAGGCCCCTGGCCCCGGGTCTAGGGCTGCGGCCTCCCAGGGCTTGGGCCTCCGCGGGAGCCGAGAAATCGTGGGTTCGCCATGAGTCGCCGCGATGTGGCGTCTCTCCAAGCCGGGGAGATCCTGGCCCTGCTGAATCAGCTGCAGGAGCTGCGCCAGAGTCACCGAGGCCGGGGCTGAGCTCGTGAGCGCGGGAGCCGGGACGGAGCGGCTAGGACTGTACGGTCGCTCCATGTCCCGCCTTGAGGAAGCACCAGCGCGGGGACGCGAGCACTTCCGGGTGAGGTGGGCGGTACCACCGTCGGGGAAGGGGGTCGGGGGCTGGCGCGAAGCGAGCTGGACGCGGGGGTGCGCTAAGGAACCCTGACTGGGTCCACGCAGGAACGCTTTAGACGCGTACAAAATTCACTCCACGCCAGAGCTCCCAGGGTGGACTGTGAGAAGAAAAAGAGACACACGCTAAAACTTGAAGGCTTGCACAAAATGGAACGTGCGCGCGAACGCACGGCTGCGGACAGAAACACTCACGTTTCCGTGCATGCGTGGGCGCCGCGCACAGGCCTACTTTCAGGCTCTCGCAGACGCGTGCCTGCAGGGAATCGAGTGTAACACACGGCCGGGAATAATCTCCTTCCCGGGCTGCGCAACGCCGCCGTTTGGAAAATAGCTGTAGTCCTGCCCCCGTGGCCTCAAGACGCTGCAGAGCTTAGCCACTCTATTTCCTGCCATCCTTGGATCCGCAACGCTCCCAGCTAGGATGGGAGAAGGTGAAGGCGGGTCAGGTGAGCTACAGCTGCTGTGGCCACTTGGGAAGCCAATGCCAGTAATTTTCATGTTTCTAAATTACCAAAAGCTAGCCTCATCCTAGCAAAATTCACATTAGCAGGCGGCGCCCGTAGCTCAGTGAGTTGGGCGCCGGCTACATATACCAAGGCTGGCTGGTTCAAGCCTGGCCTGGGCCTGCTGAACAACAATGACAACTGCAACCAGAAAATAACCGGGCGTTGCGGTGGGTGCCTGTAGTCCCAGCTACCTGGAAGGCTGAGGCAAGAAAATCACTTAAGCCCAAGAGTTTGAGGTTGCTGTGAGCTGTGACAGCACAGCACTCTACCTAGGGCAACATAATGAGACTCTGCCTCAAAAAATAATAATAATAATTAACATAAGCAGGGCAAACTGGCACTGTGTGCCCCTTAATGTGGGGCACTGAGGACACAGCATCTCTTCTGTAGTATTCCTGCCAAAAATGTTTACTCTAAATCTAATCTTTTTTTTTTTTTGGGGGGGGGGACAGGGCTGGGTTTGAACCCACTACTTCTGGCACATGAGACTAGCACCCTACACCTTTGAGCCACAGGCACCGCCCATCTGAATCTAATCTTGAAGAAATAGAAACCAAAGTGAGAAACAGTCTGCAAAATGATTGACCTAGACACTTTACAGATGTCACTGTCTTAAAAGATAAAAGTTTGAGAATTGTCCCAAATTAAAGGAGAAAAAAAAAATTAATGCAGTGCTCACTTTGGTAGCATATATACTGTAAAAAATAAATGCAGAGCTGGGTGTGGTAGCTCATGCCTGTAATCCCAGCACTTTGAGAGGCGAAGGAAGGAGGATCATTGAGGTTAGGAGTTTGAGACCAGTCTAGGCCATATGACACAGTTTCTATAAAAAAAAAAAGAGTCTAGGGGTAGTGGCACATGCTTGTAGTACCAGCTACTCTGGAGGGTGAGGCAGGAGAATTATGGAGTATTGGAAGGTGATAGGATGACAGAACCTAATTCCATGGGGAGAGGGCATGGGAACTCAAGCATTCACGATCCTCCTAGACCTTGCCCTATGGCTCTCTTCATTTGTCTGGTCGTGCTGATGCATATCCTCCTTAATAAAACTGTAATCATAAAAATAGCAATTTCTTGAGTTCCGTGAGTTGTTGTAGTGAAATGTTGAATCTGAGAGGGATCATCAGACCTCCCAAATATGTGGCCAATCAGAACTGTGGGAGACCTAGGGATTCTCTGAACTTGCTGCTGGGCATCTTAAGTGAAAGCAGTCTTGTTGGGGACTGTGCCCTTTAAATTGTGGGGTCTACACTAACTCTAAATGCTGAATGCCAAAATTGAATTGCTGTATACCAATACATCAGAATATTGAATGAAGAACTCATCCTTCCTCTGTAGCCTGGGCTAGTTCCCTGTGCAGATTCCTGCAGTTATTTGCCCTAAGGAAATAACTCACCAGCCTCACTTTCTTTCTCAGCTGTACAAGTCCCTGGTTCTACTCCCATCATGCTCATCGAGGGGCTTTGATTTTCTGCTCCAACAGTGCCCTCTTTCCTGACAGCAAAATACAAGATGAAAGCATCTCTATGAGGTCAAAACCAATTATGGCCATCCTCCCAGGCACAGGAAGGATCAAATTTGCTCAAATTCAGGAGAGCAACAGGCATGTGTTTGGGAAGTGGGGAGTCATCTCAGTATCATTCTTCTTTCATGTTCTTTCATTTTGTCCCCAGCACAAACCCACAAGATGGGCGGGACAAGCTTATGCATTAGGGATTATCAGGAAGGACATCAAACACTGTTGAACTCCCCTTACGTAGTTAATCAAGTCCATAAAAGGGAGTAACAGAGCTGGGGTAGGAACCTAGGCCTCCTGACTCCTAACCCTATACCAGGCTGCCTCCCCGTTGATGGGGCCCAGAGACCCCTGCCCTGTGGGCAGCCATCTGATCATTGTGCATGCAGAAGGCAGGGAAGCAAAAGAAGGAAAACAGAACAAATGCACAGACAGGCAACAATGTCTCCTACCCCAGTATAACCAAAGCCTGTCCAAGTCAACTCAACCAGGATCCTGGAGGCTAAGAGGTTATTTCAGCAGCGGGTGGCAAGGCCAGGTGTCAACCTCTTAGTCTAGAGATGGGCTCCAAACACCTCTAAGCTAATTTATAACACATTAGGTATCTTTTATCCATAATTTAATTTTGTTTGTTTAGAGACAGGGTCTCTGTCACCCAGGCTGCACCACAGTGGCCTAATCATGGCTCATTATAACTTCAAACTCCAGGCCTCAAGCAGTCCTCCCACCTCAGCCTTCCAAAGTGCTGGGATTATAGGCATGAGCTACCAGCCTGGCCATGATATAGTTAAAAAACAAAAATCCTGGGTGGCGCCAGTGGCTCAAGGAGTAGAGTGCCAGCCTCGTATGCCCGAGGTGGTGGGTTCAAACCCAGCCCTGGCCAAAGACTGCAAAAAAAAAAAAAATCCTATCCCGGAGCCAGATGCAGTGGCTCATTGCCTGTAATCCTAGCACTCTATAAGGCTGAGGCGGGAGGAGTGCTTGAGCTCAGGCAGGGGTCCTCAAACTTTTTAAATGGGGCCAGTTCACTGTCTCTCAGACCATTGGAGGGCCAGACTGCAGGCCCCGGACGAGTTGGCTGCTAAGCAGGACAGGCAGCAGTGGCAAAAACACCCGGTGGGCCGGATAAATGTCCTAGACGGGCCATATGTGGCCCATGGGCCATAGTTTAAAGACACCTGACAGGAGTTCAAGATCAGCCTGAGTAAAAGTGAAACCCTGTCTCTAATAAAAGTAGAATAATTATCCAAACATTATGGTGAGCGCTGGTAGTCCCAGCTGCTTGAGACACAGATGATCTATTGAACCCAGGAGTTTGAGGTTGCTGTGAGCTAGGCTGATGCCATGGCACTGGAGCCTAGACAATAGTGTGAGACTCTGTTTCAAACAAATAAATAAATAAATTGGGGGCGGCACCTGTGGCTCAAAGGAGTAGGGCACCGGCCCCATATGCCAGAGGTGGTGGGTTCAAACCCAGCACCGGCCAAAAACTAGAAAAAAAAAATTGGTGGTGCCTGTGTCTCAGTGGGTAGGGTGCCGGCCACATACACCCAAGCTGGCAGGTTTGAACCCAGCCCGGGCCAGCTAAAACAACAATGACAACTGCAACAACACCAAATAGCCAGGTGTTATGGCAGGCACCAGTAGTCCCAGCTACTTGGAAGGCTGAGGCTAGAGAATCACTTACACCCCAGAGTTTGAGATTGCTGTGAGCTGTGACCCCACCGCACTCTACCGAGGGCGGCATAGTGATACTCTGTCTCAGAAAAAAAAATCCTATCTCAGCAAGATATGACTTTTCCTCTCTCTTAATTATTATTATTATTTTTTTTTTTTTTTGAGACAGAGCCTCAAGCTGTCCCCCTGGGCAGAGTG